CGGTCTGGACAGATGATAAAAATGAACTGAAACTTAAATGTAGAGACTTAAAACACATTCCAAGTACTTCTAGTTAACAAGGTGGAGACACACAACTACTAAATGTGGATGTTCAAGTGTGTTAAGTTATTGCCTTGGGGGTTACCACTTTGAAGAGGGACATGAAACCCACCTTGCTCTAATCCCTGACACTTAAAGTGTACCTAGACCCTCAGTGACTGTTGAATGAATGCTACACAAATTATTAAAATGCTCTTAAAGTTATTAAGGAAATGCTTTCTACATATTCTTGGCCAGATCAATTTTTGTACCTATAATGGAATCAGTAAGTAGTCACGTGCAGAACTACTCTCCATTTGTCAAATCCTAAAATATTCCTAGTCCCTGGTGTCAAAGCTTGAGGTCTACTGTCCTTTGCATGGCTCTGGATTTTCCTGCTTTAACCAACAGATCTAGAGGTACCAGGCACACACACAGCAGGTAAGTACATAATTGAGGAGATAAGTAGTTTTATTTTCATAACTGGAAACAATTTTAAAGCTGGTTGGTAGAAGTTTGCTTTTTGTTTTATCTCCATATTACCGTATGACATTATTACCATAATTCCTGCAGTGAAATCCAGAACTCTGGAGGTGGCACTGACGAACACAGGGTGCAAGGGCTTCCTTGGAACACTGTCCGTGCGTGCCTCGGCTCCTTCCAGACACAGTACCGTGGTCTCCGTTTTTCTGAGGATTAGGAAGGTGTCTACAGATATGGGAGTCAGGAATTTTAGTGTGCCGTAAATTATCCAGGTACCTGTTAAAATGCAGCTTTTTGTGACCAACACCAGAGAGTCTCGGCAGGCATTTTTTTTTTTTTTTTTTTTTTTTTTTTGGTGACTTGGTGAAGGACTGCAGCTACCCTGTGGAACAGTCCTAGAGCCAAGGCTGCTTTTTGTAAGGGTTACCTCGGGAATCAGTCTTGGCATTGCTTGCTCACAGACTCACGCTACAATCACCGAGGCCACTGTCGTTGGATCTGATTGGTCTAACGTATAGAAAGGTGAACATGGACAAGCGCTTACACCTGTGTGACAACGCCCATCAGGGTGCACAACTTAACCGCCGTTCTGCCCCCGTCCCAGTCAGTATCCAACCGAGAAGCCACTTGAAGGTCTCGCCCTCCACCACTGTCCAAGCGGCTTTAAATCGCAGAGCCGCCTTCCCAGATTGCTCCACGGGATCCGACCGGGTGTGCGTGGTCAGATCCTCGCTCAGCCAATCGAAGTTCGGTTTGTTGCCGGGTGTCCGACGATGCACGCTTATTAGCCGGCTCCGAATACCGTTAGCCTCCTCGCGGTCCCGATGTTGCATCACCCCCGGACGTCCGGTGCCGGCGGCGTGCACGCATTTCTTCCCAGGAGTCTGCTCGGGTAGTGTCAGGTACTGCGCCTCTGGCACACGTTTTGGTGGTTTTTTTTAATGTCTCTGCAGGGCTTTGGGTTCGTTGGGTGCATATTTATTTCTAAGGAGAAGATTGGGAGGGGGTGTAAGTGGGCTAAAGAACTCGGAACCGGGAACGAATCTTGCCTCTCGTGCCGGGTTGCAACCCTTGGAAGTTCTTTTACAAACTGGAATCGTGGTAACATCGTTGAGTGGTTGTGGAATTTGGTGTGATCGAGCTTGCTGGAGAAGTGCAGAAGGCGGACGAAATTAGAAATTACTTGGCAGTCGAGGTATTCGTAAAAACAGGTCAGGTACTAGACTCCCATGAAGAGGTGTTCTTTGCCGGGTACCTAGATTTGGAGAGGAAGTAAGCACGGCCTTGTCCTCGGCCCTCGCAGTCTGATAACGCCGTATGCAGGTAGGGGGAAGGAAGACCTGTGGGATTTGGAGGTGGGAGGAGACGGCTTCTGAGGAGCTGCGATGGGTTTGGGGTCCTGAAGATAGTAAGTAGGAATTGAGGGAGACAGAGGACACAGGGAACCATAGTGAAGTATAGCCTTGAGGACTTACAAGAATTTTAATGTTATAATTTTGGCCTACTATTTGGATTTTTTTACACCTTGAGCTCTGAGACGGCTTACAGAGCATAACTTCGCCCTTTTGGGCTCCGAAACCGCCTGCCGAGCGAACAGCCTTCGTCTGCTGATGGTGTTGCTGTTTGAGAAATGTATTCTTGCGTGGTCGTTAAGTAATACTTACTGTACTATGACTGTGTGGTCAAAGACAGTCCTTTTTCCCCGCACAACCCCACTTGGCCCTACCCCCGGAGTCAGCCCACCATTGAAAGTCCACTTAAACCCACCAATCCGAAAACCAATTTTATAAGTCGGTAGGGTCTTGTTTTCCCTAACAATCCATCACTTTGACCACCAGATCTTTGCAGCTTTTGTCTTTATAAATCCTGCCTTATGCCCTCCATTTTGGAACACATTCTTTGTTCATCTTTTTACTGGTTTTCAAGTCATTATCTGAACAAACTTAATTTTCAAAAAAGATTTCTCTGGACTCTTTTTTACAGCTGGATTTCAATGTGTGTTAAATCAGGAAGTGGGCTATAGTCCCTGCAGTTTAGGGTGTTTGTGAGGATCTATTGTGAGGTGGCACTTAGCTTCCAGACCTGTGAATTTGTAGTTTCCTTCTTGAATAAAGTGTTTAAATGAACCCAGAAGAGAATATATGTTTTTTTAAAAGGTGGCATAATGTTACTTTTAGTATTCAGGTTTTGGGGAGAGCTCAGGAAGGATACTAAAGGCAGAATAATAGATTTAGGGGTTTTCTGTTATATGATGAACTTTTAAAAAGTAAATATTAGTAAAATGGAAGACTAATATCCTTATCGTAAGTGATTAGTGAATTATATATACAGGAGACAAGGCAGCTAAGTGTAGATTTTACTCTTTAAGTGTTCTTGGAAAGGAGGTAGTAGCTGGGAAAGGGCAATAGAATGGAATTTGTGGGCAAAGAAGTAATAATAGCTTAAATGGATGCTGTGATTTCTCTGAGCTCTACTAGCCATTATTTCACTGATGAAGTTACCATTGTGAATGTTTATGGCCTTTATTTTACAGATGATACAACTGAGATTTAAACGTTAAGTAACTTTTCCTATAGCTCACGGACTAAGTGGTGGCACCAAGACTGTCAAATTTCAAAGCTATTATCTTGGGCCAGGAAGAGCCCATGGAGTGGGATAGATTGGAAGGGCAGGCAGGAGTATCACTGAGGAAACCAAGGATGCTGACAGAAGGATTCATTCAAACAATGGTTTTGCTTATCAGCAGTGACCCAAAAGAGTGATGTAGCCAGACCTAGAGTTTTACAGGAGTAAATAAAGGTCACGAGTAAGAGTAGCAGTTTAGAGTAAGAACATGGTGGCCTTGAGTGTTTCACTGAAACGTCTACAGAATGTTTTTGGGAGCAAGGAGCCATTGGATTTCTTTTTAATATAGAAGTGTTACTTTCCCAGCTTTTCCATTGTGAAGGTTAATCTATAGTGATATGTAGGATATAGAATAAAAATCAAAACAATGGTATGAAGTGTTTATACAAATTGAACTTTCACAGCTCAAAGTCTTTTGTAAGTAAGATTTTATTCAGTCAAAATTGCTAGCCAGGAAAACTGGTCTAGGGGCCAGGAGCACAGCAAGGTAGAAGAGACATCATGTCCATTGTTCCAGCATTTTGCAAGAGTTTTTTTATACATTAAGTTAGAGGGAAGGAAAAAGAAAGAGACTGAAAGAATTTACATTAGCTTTGGGCAAGTGGTAGGAGAAGGTCAAGTGGGGTCAGCTCAGCTTCGGAATAAGCGCAGAGTTTGCATGTACAAATGTCCATTCCTGTAGAATGGCAGAGGCAGCTATCAGGAAAGCCCATGTATAAACAAGCAGAAGTTCTGGAGTTGAATGGGGCTTGGCTGAACAAGTGGAAAGAGCCACCCGGAAAGTAATCCTAAATTCCAACAGGCAAAACAGGAATGTGAGCAGTCTTTTATTAGCTGGTGAGCAGCCATTAGCAGACTAACAGTTCTGTTTCATTCACTCTCCAGCCTCTGTAATGTAACTTAAAATGTATCAGAAACTATGTGTGGTGTCAGGTGGGTATGAGATTTGTCAGGATGATCACTTAGTAATTTATATAATGTCTAATACACTTGAAACTAATATAATCTGAAGGTCAACTGTAATTGAAAAAAATAATTAAGAAATTAGAATTTTCTTCTTGTCAGGTAAGATAAAAACTTGTTCATTTATCCCTTCCCCTACAGTCCTATTCCCTGATGGGTACCCATAGTTAAGTTTGGTCGGTTGCTTCTAAATTCAAATACAAAATTACTTACACATAGATTTAATGTATATGTTTTAAAAAATCTCTTGAAAGTGATATTACAATATATGTAGTATGAATTGCTATTGCTGTGACTCTCCTTTCTCAGTATGTATAGGTAATATGTATATCTGGTATATTGAGATTTGTTATTTTTAATGCCTGTATGATATTGATGTACTCTATTTTAGGCACCTGTATATTTTAGGTACTTGTTTATAAAAACAGTGCTTCAGTTACTATCTTTGTACAATAGGATATAACTAAACTGAGAAAAGGCTGGAGATGGACTAACTCTGGGGTTCAGTTTATCTCAGTGTAACAGGTTAAGACCTGGCAATGAAGAAAAGGGAACAGGTTAATAGAAGTCAAATCCGTATGATTTGATGATCAATTACATATGGGCATCGTCTGGTAGGGTTAAAGGTGACTCAGAAATTTCAGATAGCAGGAGTGAATATTGGAACTATAGCTACTGTTGACTTAAAAGTGGGAGCAGGGATGACAAGGAAGATCATGAGATTTATTTTCCAAAATCTGTTGAGGTAAAGGTCAAAGAGTGTATCAAGAAATTGCTGAACAGGAAGTTGAGTGTAAAGAGGTCTGAATATAGTAAGAGGGAAGAAGAGATTGCTTTCTTGAGCACAGCCTCGGTGAGATTAATTTTCCTTCTCTTTCTCGCCCACAAGTGCCCTGTGGTTACTGGATGCTGTTGTGCGAGAACAGCTCTCCAGTGGATGCATGGAGCTAGAGCAAACCTGTGATCTGTACATGGAAGCTGTTTCTCTTCTGTAGCCAGCATAGCCCTGTCACTGATAATGTTGCTTTTCCTGGAATACAGAGTTATGAGCCATCTTCACAGAAAGCTTAAATCTCATTTTCTCAATAAAACAAAAAAAAGATAAAACGTTTAGCTAGACATAAGTCGGAGCAGGTGCAGAATGATGATTCACAGTTCTCTGTACATGATAATCCATTGTTAAAATGTAGGTACTGTACTGATTCCTCATTCAAACGTAGGACTGGTAAGTCTACTGTAATAGTTCCCACAGATCCTGGCAATTACAGGACCACCCTTGAGGATCATTAGAAGTTACAGAAATAAATGTGTTGTTACCTAAACATCTCGTCTTTCAATATGATCCCTTAAATTTTAGGCATCCTTGAATAAGGTAGTCCAAGAATCAATAGGACCCCCTAATCTGTAAATGTACAAACTAACACTTTTTCTGGCTTGAAAGGTTGGAAGTAGCTGAAGATCCAAAATGCCATCAATTTTTGTTTATTAATACCATTTAATCAGATATGTATAGTAGAATTAATTAAACAACCCACCTGTTGGTTTTTTTTTCCTTTTTTCCTGTATAAAACTCAAAGGTACTCCTGGATCTCAAAAACAAAGAAAAGAAAAGGAGAGGCAATGCTTGTAACAAACTTTGTTCTGGTGACATGGGTCAATTACTGTGATTAAGCTTGGATGTTTTCAGAATTTCTAAAGTCATTTACTCCAGACTTTTACAGGTTTAAGGTTTTCCATCTTCTCTGTTGTTTTCTCATTTTCAGCATTCCTGTCTCATTCTAATCTGATGTCAGCTTAAAAATCTGATCACCAACCTAATTAGAGTAATAAAGTAATATTAAGTAGGTTTTGAGGAGGAATGGAATTGAAGATGATCACTCTAGATAGTTAAGCCGCCCTGGACTGATCAAGTGATTATTAGAAAACTGTATAAGGATACTTTAATACTTCTCTCACTAGGGATTAAATCAGAAATCTGTAAGTTTTCTCCTTTCCAAAAATGAATAAGCAATAAAAGAAAATAGAAAATAAGAATGATCTAGGAATTATGTGAATGTAAGATTCTCATCTTTTTAGCTTTAAAATTTTTTTTCTTTAGGTCTTGTTTGTCATTACTCAATAGCAAATTACAGTTTTTGAGGTTTATAGCATATGGGGTTCAAGAGATGAGATTATTTGAACAGAAGTGTTTTCTGTCCTGTGGATATAGGTACTAATTCTCACCTATTTTGAGATTTATTTTTTAGATTGTTGTTGAATTTTTATTGTCATTAGATCGATTTCCCAAGATTTTCTTTTTTACTTCTAGAAGCATATTGTCTGCAATTACTAAATGTTATATTGTAGTTGAAAAATAGGTGAAGAGTGTGATTTGGACATAAGTTTTGCAATAATTTAAAAAATAGGTATCCCTATTTCACGCTATATATAAAAATAATTCAGAATGGATGAACGACCAAAATAAGAGCTAAATATTCACGACCTTGTTTTAGGTGGTGGTTTATTAGCTATTACAGCAAAAGCTCAAGTAACAAAACAAAAAGTAGATAAACTATACTTCATTAATTTAAAATTGTATGGGCTTCAAATAATAACATGAAGAAAATAAAAAGCCCACAGAATGGGAGAAAATTTTTGCAGATTATATACCTGAAAAACTTGTATCTGGAATATATAAATAACTCTTACAACTCAGCAATAAAAAGACAACCAAATCATACACTGGGCAGAGGGTAAATACACAGCTCTTTAAGAAAATATAAAAATGCACATGCTCAACATCACTAATCATTAAGGAAATGCAAATTAAAACCACAATGAGTTAACCACTTCCTGTCTACTAGGATTTCCTATGATTTCCTATAATCCAATAATGGGTAATAAATAAAGAGTGAGAACTTAGAGAAACTGCAATCTTCATTCACTTCTGAAAGAATATAAAAATATGCAGCAGCTATGGGAAAAATTTTGGAGTTAAAAAGTTAAATACAGTTATAATGTGATCCAGCAACTCTATTCCTGGTTATATACGCAAGAGCACTAAAAACATATCCACACAAAAACTTATACATGTATATTCATAGCATTGTTCAGTAGCCAAAAAGTGGAAACAGTCCTAATGTCTATGTGCTGATGAATGGATAACAAAATGTGGCATGTTTTTACAGTAAAATATTAACTCAGTATAAAAATAATGAAATATGAATACATATTACAACATTGATGAACTTTGAGCACATAATTCTAAACCAAAGAAACCAGACAAAATATGCTGTATGTACATGATTGCATTTGTATGAAATGTACAGAGTAGGAAACTCTGTAGAAACAGAAAGCAGATTTATGGTTATTGAGGAGCTGAGGAAGGAGAGAATGGAGAGTGACTGCTCATGTATATAGGTTTTTAGAGGAGAGGGAGAGAGCACTGATGAATATGTTCTGGAATTAAAGCATGGTAGTGGTAACACAACTTTGTGAATATACTAAAAACCACCAAATTGTACACTTTAAAAAGATGAACTTTATAGTGCATCAATTTTACCTCAAAAAAAGCTGTAATTTTTAAAATACCATGTAGTGTCAAGGGTAGTAATATATACACTCATTTTAATGTACAGTAATCTTTATTTCTAGACTTCTCTTTTGAAAATAATAAATTTGTTTTCTCTTGCAGCACCAAAATGGTTCATTCAGTTCCAGAAAACATTGATTTTCCTGCTGAAGAAGAGAAAATCTTGCAGTTCTGGTCTGAATTTAATTGTTTTCAAGAATGCTTAAAGCAGTCCAAACATAGACCAAGGTATGTGAATTTCTTTGGTAAAGGTAGAGTCCTTAAGAATAATCATTTCTCAGACTGTGTTTCATTGAGGCAAGAACTTTTTATTCACCTTTGTACTCCCAGAGTCTCCTAGCTCTATGTCGTAGGTACTCTCATTGGTAGATATACACTGAATGGATGGATAAGTTCCTAAATAATAGGGTTTTTAAAAAATTTTATTGATTATGCTGTTACAGTTGTCCCATTTTTTTCCTCCCCTTAATTCCGCTCCACGCTATACCACCCCACCACCCAGCATCTTCCCCCCAACCCCCTACCTTGGTCATGTATATATAAGTTCTTTGGCTTCTCCATTTCCTATTATACTATTCTTAACCTTCCCCTGCCTATTTTGTACCTACTATTTATGCTGCTTATTCCCTGTACCTTTTCCCCCATTCTTCCCCCTTCCCTCCCCTCTGTTTTACTGTTCATAGTTTCTCATCTTCATCTTTTTCTTAGATAAGTCCCTTTAACATTTCATATAATAAGGGCTTGGTGATGATGAACTCATCACTTGACCTTAATCTGGGAAGCATTTTATCTGCCCTTCCATTCTAAATGACAGCTTTAGTCAAAAGTCCTCTTAATTAATAAGTTAGATTTAGCTTCTTTAAGAGATTTACTTGAATGTTCTAATAAAATTCAGATTTTAAAAGCCGTTTAGCTTTGGACCATTATTAACTAGAGTTTACCTATCACCCTCTTCTTTTCCACTTTTCTCATTATCACCTTATTTAAGTACTTAGACTAGTAGTAGCCTTCTATTAGGGTACTTCCTGCCTTTACTGATCTTTCATTCACCCAAAGACCAGTCCTTTTTTTAATCATATGTTTCATGTGCTCAAAAACTTTATGAAATAGGCATTTGTTGCCCTATTTTACAGATGAGTAACTTAATTGTTTAGCATCAGGATGGATAACTTGGGCTGTGTTGTGGACTAATCAGTGAAGAATGGGTGGCCCAATAGAAGCCTCTCTAGCTCTTTCATAACTAGCTTTTTTGAAGTCTGGGCTTCCAGTAAACATCTAATTGATTACCTGAATTTCCTCGTCTCACTGCTTTCCTTCTTGAAGACTCCCCTGTGCCAAGAGCCATCTACAGAAAAATGTTGTCTTAAATTTTTGCTGTCTTTTTTTAAGTAACTGAACATATTTTTATTACATCTGTTAGATTTACTTTCTATGATGGGCCTCCTTTTGCAACTGGACTGCCTCACTATGGACATATACTTGCAGGGACAATTAAAGATATAGTTACAAGATATGCTCACCAGAGTGGGTTTCACGTTGACAGAAGATTTGGATGGGATTGTCATGGCTTACCTGTGGTATGTTGGAACCACCAGCTATATGTTTTGAATTTTTTTTTAAGATTTTATTTATTGTAGAGAGAGGGTAATGGAGTGAGAAAGAAAGGGAAAGGAATATCAGTGTGTTAAAGAAACATCCATCTGCTGCTTTTCACTCACACCTCAACTAGGGAACCGAGCCTGCAACCCAGGCATGTGCCCCGATCCCTGGGAATCAATCCAGTGACCCTTGACTTTGCAGGACAACACTCTCACATGCTCCCCACTGGGGATCTGGCCTGCAACCCAGGCACGTGCCCTGACTGGGAATCAAACCAGCAACCTTTTGGTTGATAGGCTGGCAGTCAGTCCACAGAGCCACACCAGCCAGGGCTGATTTTTTTTTTTTTAATAAACATTAGATATTTTATATATATATATAAGTATGATGAATTTTTACTATAATCAGACTTTTTTCTACTTCATTTCCATAATACTATTTATAGTTCATTTTCTCTAGATTTTCTGAGAACTCGTTTTTAAAAATATGTTTTATTTTCTAGAATTGCTGAATTGCATTTGTTTTAAAGGGCAGGGTTAACATTCTTATTGTAAATTTTCAGGAATATGAAATTGATAAGCTACTAGGAATCAGAGGACCAGAGGATGTAGCCAAAATGGGTATTGTGGAATACAACAATCAGTGCCGAGCCATTGTAATGAGATATTCTTCTGAATGGAAGGTATGTTTGGTTATTTTCAGTAGAATGAAGAAAAATGTGTAATTTAAATGGAAGTTGAAATGGTTTATGGCCCTTTGTGCTTTTTTTGATGCTCCCAAATGTATGGCTGTCTGTGTGAGGTTGTATATGAGAGAGGTTGACCATCCTTTTTAAAGGAGTGTTTGGCGCCCA